GTAAAGCTGCTAAAATGCAATCTGAAGCCAAATGAACATTTCCCATTAATTTCATGTCTCTAATGGGCTGAAGTGAGAGCGAGTTGAGAGTAGAAAAGGTGCTCAGCACCATTATGGGCCCTTGCATAGAAAGGGGTAGTTGGCCTGCCAAAAAGGTCACCACCGCTGTGTTATGAGGTTGTGGGGTTCTCTTTCTCCTGATATTTTCTGTAAACTTTGCGCTCTATCAAAGACATATATTACAGTGGGACCTTGGAGGCAGATGCCTGGAGCTGGCAGTGTGAAGGGAGTATTCAATGTAAATGCTTCCCTGGTAGCACTGACACTGTGTGGAAGTGAGCCCTGAGCTAGGTGACTTGGTCTCTTACCTTCTTTAACTGCTTGATGAAAAAGATAGCCCTCCAGCAGGTACTGGCTTAGCAACCTCTGGAAAGGGCAGTAACGCATTGGTGTAGGTGTATGCCAGCCACTGGGTGGAGGGGAGGGGGGGGCTGACTTAACCACCCACTCTACAAATGCTGTTTCTTATAGATACAGATATAGGAAATTATATCACCCTTGTGCAGAGACATGCTGTATCTCTACAAACAAATGTATCTCTAATCTCACATATTATATCACCCTTGTGCAGAGTTTTCCGTTGTCTCTGAGGAAGGAGTAAAAATGACTCCAAACGCATCGGATCTTTGCAAAACTATCTCTGTAACCAATCAGGACTATTGCAAAATTATCTTTTTTAATTCTACGACATCTCTTGATGGTGATATGATATTATGATTACTTGTAAAATGGTGTGTCATACCATAAATATTTTATACATGTGGAAAAATAAAGATTTCATAATTTTATTGTATGTATTATGCCTTTAAAGTCCCATTCAGTTTAGGGGGTATTTCCTATATCTGTATCTAGTTATTTTGGGATGGTGGCAATCTATCAGGAAATCCTTTTTTCTTTTCCTTCTTTCTTATAGATACAGGGCAGTGATTAAACATCTCCCTATAGCAGGTAATGAGTTAAACTTCCAGCTTTTCACAAGGACATAAAATAGGAAAAAATCCTTAAATTTAAAACTGATGCAGCCACATCTAGAAACTGGTAAACTGTAAATTATTATATGTTTTACTTTGGGATTTGAGTTTAGATACATTTTTAATATACTTGGTGGGGAATTGTACATCTCTAATTGAGAAGGTGCAGCTTCAGAAAGGAATCCTAATGCTAACATTATTCCAGTTCTTAGCTTATAGGACATGCTACATTCATTCCATGCATTCCAAGGACTATAGTACATAGAGCTAACTTAGCAATGAGAAAGAAGATGCAAGGGATGATGAACTAGTTCAGTGATTAAAGTACAGGTGTCCTTTTGTATTAACAACCCTTTAAAGGATAAGTTCACCTTTTGACCAAAAATAATAAATGTACATTTTCTTGCAGGTTCCCTGAAGATCTGTCAGTATATCTGCTTGACTGGGCGGGATGTATGGGCAAGCAGTTATACTGACAGCAAGAATCAGTGAACTACCATGGAGCGCCACAGCACCGTGGTAGTTCATTGAGAATTACAAGCCAACAGCCTCTAAGGCTGTCGGGAATTGCAGTTCATTCATTCACAGAACTCTGTGAATGAATGACACGCTGTGTGGGAGGAGCCCCACACGGCCACGCTCTATTCAAAAAGTGACAGCTAGTATGAAGAACGTCTCCCCATACTACTGTCAAAGGAAGGGAAGGGGATCAGGCGTCAGCTGCATCACTGGGAACATTCATGTTCCACACCCTAAAAGTGGGTGGAATTTGCAACATGGTCCCAAAGGTGAACTTATCCTTTAATGGTTTCACCATGCTCCTTTACCTATCATACCCAAAATCAGACCTTGGTCAGCTTTAATAACGTGTGTGTATGCGTATGTGGATGTGTGCGTGTGTCTTGGGGCGGAGGGGGCAGTTCTTATATTTGATTTTTTTTTGCTGGCTCTGGTGCACAGATGTAATTACAAACTATATAGATAAGAAATGGATAGCTGAGTTGGTAGATGTGCACATTTTGGTTTCGTTTCTGATGCATTCATTCATTGAAAAATGTTGTTTCCTCATATTTATTATGTTACCAACTTCAAGTCCGGACACTTTCACCCTCTTCCTGTCCAGGCCAATTCTCAGTTTTTAGTGCTATTACACTTTGAATGGCAATTGCGCGGTCATACAACACTGTACCCATATGAATTTTTTTAGCTTTTTTTGAGACAGATAAAGCTTTATTTTGGTGGTATTTATTCACCACTGGGATTTTTATTTTTTTGCTATATAAATGAAAAAGTCCAAACATTTTGAAAAAAAAAAGTGTTTTTCTTCTACAATTTTGCAAATAAATAATCTTTCTTTATAAATCTTTGACAAAAATGTATTCAGCTATCTTTTTAGTAAAAAACAAATTACCCAAATTAGTTTATAAACAAAAATTATAATTTTTCAAAAACATTTTTTTTTTTTACATTTTTATTTTATTTTATATTATTATTTATGGGGTTTTTTTTTTTAACCTACCGTCACCCTAGCAGTACAGTGTCACCATAGTGAATGCGGGGGCCATTTATAAACAGCCACCTGCTCCTGCACTGCTCCCGTCCAGCTGTTTATATACATGGGCCGGATGGGAAGTGGTTAAACTGACTCATTTTCGGATTCGTTTCGTTTATTCGTTGGTCCGGGTGGATTTGAAAATTGTTTACGTTTTTTGAAAGATTGCTATATATTAGTTTTCGGTTTCAATATTTTGTGTGGACTCGTTATTCATACATCAAAACTAGTCAATATTTTTGGATGCAATGGAGAAAATAATGCAAAATGTGGCAGCCATGAATTTTTAAAACCTAAGAATTGCATTAGAATGTGGAACTGAAGTGACTGAGAGTTACAAATTCAATTTAAATCACAACTTTACTTGAATCTGAATTAGCAAACAAATTAGAAAATGTAATTAATTTCCCCATGTGACCAAAGTACTATCGCATCAAGTGACGCCATTCGGATGCATTCCATAATTTCATTATAACTTTTTTTGTTGGATTTGTTGGCATTCTTTAGTATGTCAGTTCAGAGATTCGTATACATCCGAATCTCGGATAATCAAATTTTCATCCCGAAAATTGATTTGTTACAAAACGCACATATCTAGTTAGTAGAGCATTCTCAGGCACAGGCACAAGAAGAAAGGTGAATGTAAATTCTGTCTAGTGCAGCATAAAGTTTGGCAGTGTAAAGCACATTGCATCTGAAGTCTGATTTTGTTTTCATATAAATAGATATGGGAGATGGGGAAATCTATACAATGCTTTTTTAGTACATAGGTACTTCTGTGTTTTAAGGGACAGCTTCGCTAAGAGAAATACAGACACTACCATTGCTGATCTCTAAAAATGCTATTTACCTGGCTTTTATGACAACTCTCATGATTTTAGTGCATTCTGAATAACTGACCGTTGTGCAGGATGCAGATCAGTAACCATGACTTTAAATGGTTATAAAGTCAAAAAAGTTTTAGTTTTTTTTTACTTGTATTAAAGTAAAAAACCTTTAACTTGCTGTTTGTTTCCCCTTTCCCCAGAGTACTTGCCTTACCCCTTCCACGATCCAGTGCTTTTTCCATCTGCAGCACTGCTGGTCTCTCTGCCAGCTCTCACAGTACAGACAGATAGCAGCAGGAGCCATTGGTGCCTCCTGTTGTCAATCAAATCCAGTGAGGAGGGTGCGAGAGGCATGGTTGAGCCATGCTGTGTGTGTTTCTATTGACACACAAAGTGCAGTTTGGGATTTTGCCTGTACATGTGCCCCCATAGCAAGCAGCTTGTTATAGGGGCACACTCAGGAAAGGAGAAGCAGACAACACCGGTGGGGGACTACAGAGGAGGAGGTAAGGGGCTGCTCTTGTTTCATTTTAGGTAAAAAAAAATCAGGCTTTAATATCACTTAAACTTGTTGCATATCTGTTCTGGGTTTGTGAAAATATTAAAGCTAGAGAAAGACAGGCAACATGCTTTTTTATAAGCAGGTCAGAAATATGTGTTCTTTATTAGACCATAAGGACTATGAGAACAATATATAGGCTTTTGGGAAATTCCGACATAATGACAGTAAGAGCAGGAGGAGTGAAAGTTCCATGAGAATGAAGCAGGGTAATGATTGCTTTGTGCACAACACCCTTTTCCCTGAACCATGTCCATTGTCACAGATGTGCGAGAAACCTGCACAGGTCTGTGTTTTGCAATATAAAGGAAATGGCATAAAAGCGAGTTTTCCTTTAATGCTTCTTCAACAACCTTGGCATTGAATGATTCCATAAGTGCTCCACATTTTTTCCTTCCTTAGAGTTTAGTATTTCTTTCTTTTATGAAGTCATAATATGTGCATTATCATGAGATATTCAGGTATTGCAGATATTACATAGCACCCTACAACAAAACAGTCATTTTAAACATTTTTAAAAACACAACGTAAGATTCATATTGCTATAGTTGTATGTTTCATTGTGCGCTTCTTAATCATGTCCCATTATTTGTCAGGTCTATATACAGAATTATCATTTCAAGTATATAGAAGGTAGGCTGTTTAATTGCAGAGTTTGGGTTTAGTTCTGTGGTTCTATCATTGTAGTTATAAATATAATTTCTCGCAAAGGGCAGATAAACGTAGGATGTAAGGTTGATCATGCAAAGGCAGATCATAGAAATTGCTAAAAGATTTGTCATTGAAATAACTGTTCTTGGTTCTTGCTTCACTGAGCTAATCTCCTGCAGAACATAAGACACTTTCATCCAGAAAAGGGAGCGAAAACAGCGGAAGACTTTTTTCAGCTTCTTTGGGGCTTGATCTTGATGACGACGACAGAGATCAGATAATTGTTACCTTATCCTGACAAAATCCAACAGCACCGGGTGATTTTATTATAACCTATGTGTGTTTAAAATGATCATTAGGCAGTAGGCATTTAAGTCCTCATGCACGCTTGACGTTTTTACAGTGACTGTTTTTGGCTTTTGACATTTTTTTCTACAACTAGTAAACCCCCCAGCATGTTATCCTATGTGTCCATGCACACATAGACTGTAATCAATGTTTTTTGTCTGGAATGTTTTTTGGCTAGAAAAAAACCCAGGACTAGTGGGTTTCTAGAGGAGTTTTGTGTCTGTAAAAACGCTTAATGCTGGAAAACGCGGCAAAGCGTGGTAAAACACCACAAACCCGCGTTTTCTGGGACTATTTTTGACCAAAAAAAATATTATTTGCAGCTGATGGTCGGCTTTCTTGTAATAGCGATCAGATCAGCTAACAAGCCATTCGCTATTACAAGCATTGAGAGGGGACGTTTTTACAGCGGCTGTTTTTGGCTTTTGACGTTCGTTTCTACAGCAAGTACACCCCCCAGCACAGGGGCGGACTGACCATTTGGAAACTCGGGCACTGCCCGAGGGCCTGGGGTCTGTAGGGGGCCCTATGAGATGCCCCTGGTACCTTTTTCATAGGCTTTTTTGAATTTGGGCAAGGACACAGGGGCCCCATGATCCCCTATTGCCCGGGGGCCCCCATGAGTTGTCAGTCCGCTCCTGCTCCAGCATGTTATCCTATGTGTCCATGCACACATAGACTGTAATCAACGTTTTTTGGCTGGAAAAAAAAGCCAGGACTAGTGGGTTTCTGGAGGAGTTTTTTTAGCTGTAAAAACGCTTAATGCTGGAAAACGCGGCAAAACGTGGTAAAAACCACAAACCCGGCGTTCTGGGACTATTTTTGACCAAAAAAAATATTATTTGCAGCTGACGGTCGGCTTTCTTGTAATAGCGATCAGATCAGCTAACAAGCCAATCGCTATTACAAGCAGTGAGAGGGGACTTTCCCCCCCCCCCCCACCTTCAGCCGTTTTCCCAGGATCTCCCACCGGCTGGCTAGTTACGGAGCTAAACAAACACCCGATTATCTTTGTTCGGCTACGATCTTAGTGTGATTGAATGCTTTTAAATGCAGAGGAGGGATTTGGGGTGTAATGGAGCCCAGATTCCTTCATAAAGAGAACATTCTGTAAAAAAAAAGTGTAAAAAATGTAAAAATAAACAAAGTGCCCCCGTGCTTCTGCGCAAAGACGAACACATGCTTCGGTCCCACTCACATGCAAACAGCGATCGTTCCACACATGTGAGGTATCAATGCGAATTTCAGTTCATGGGCAGTATTTCTAGGACCAGACGCCTCTGTAAATCTTAAGTGGTAACCTGTAAATGCTTTTAAAGCATTGCCTATGAATAGTACAATTTACGCAGTTTGTCGCCATTGCACGGGCGTGCGCAATTATATAGCGTGACATGTTTGGTATCTATTTACTCAGTGCAACAGCTCCCTGTTATATTTTACCAGACAACTGGGTTATTTATTGTGGTTTTTTGCATTAAAATTCAAAAAAGTGTATTTTTTCCAGAAAAATTGCATTTAAAAAACAGCTGTGCAAATACAGTATGACATGAACAATTGCAAAACCTGCCAATTTGTTCTCTAGGGCCTCTGATTTTAAATATTATGGGGTTTTTTTTTGGGGGGGGTTCTAAGTATTTTTCTAGCAAAACAAAATTGATTGTTTCCTGTGAACAAAAAAAAAACCTGGTCCTTAAGTGGATAATAAATATTTTCCTATACTGTTGTCCAACTCTTATGCTGTGCCCTGTTGTGGACAGCACAAATTTCCACTAAGCACCACCCAAGCAGCCAACCTAAATACCCTCCAACACCTGATGTCTGAAGTCCCCTAATCACAAGGCATGGCTTCTGCTGTGCTAGACAAGCCATTACCCACAGCCACAGGTAACCAACAAAAGATGAAACCCCCAAACACTCTATTTGAGCTCTGCTACTTGTTGTACAACACTGAATTCAAAGACTTTACTATCAGGCAAATGATGTTGGTACCAGACTCTTGGGTACTTTTTCCTTCCATCATAAAAGGCAACAAATGGAGTCAAACACCAGTAGCTCTGCTCTGCTATGTCTACTGTGGATGTAGGCAGGTGTTAGTTTCTATTTTAGTAACGCCCCTCTCCTAGGTGGTTAATGGGTGAAGTTGGTACCCCTTTTATAAAGCATAGTGGGAGACAGACGGGAGCATGGGAACAGGTCTCCCCTGACTTACATTATGACTATGTGTGACCTGGACAGGACAGCCCTTCCAGGCTGAACTGACAGGAGGCTCTGGATGAGGATCTTTGGTAGGACTCACATTGGAGAGAGGATGGGAGAATTGATTCTTAGTTAACTGCACTGGGTTGATGTGTACTGGAGGTCTAAAGAGTGACATGAAGAAAGCTCTGTATAAAATGTTAACCTGTCGATCAGAGCAAACTGTTGGAAAACCACCCTGTGTGGAAATTCTTTTTTTCAAGATGCTGGGATTCATGCCAGGAGCTTGAGTGATACAGTTTCTCCTAAAAAAAGGTATAGCTACACTGCGGCCATGTGACCCGGTGGCCATCTTGGATCAACAGGGTCTTTATAAGTCTCTGCTCCTGGGTTTTGGTGCTCATTTTGCAAGTGGCTAGTGTAGAGAGAGACTCCGCTTGTTAGGGAAAGCAACTAGTGCTAGGGCAAGGTTCCAGGTGAGTAGGAAAAAGCTAAGGGACTTGCTACCCTGGAAGGAAGCCTCTCCATTTGGGACCATACCGGACCTGCCATGCCGCATTCCACCCTCTGAGACAGACGATTTAGGCATCTCTCCTCAGCCACATATTGAACTAAATTGGATTGTGAGTGTTTTCCCTAAGCAGCACTCTCCTGCTAGGGTGTTTGTAAAGTTTGCATTCTGTTCAATACAAGTTTCAAGTTTACTGCAACCGGTGGTTATTTACTACAACTGAAGAGTGCAAAATCTGATGCTGCTCTGCATACAAACCAATCAGCTTCCAGGTTTTATTGCCAAAGCTTAATTGAAAAAGCTTAAATCAGAAGCTGATTGGCTTCCATGCATAGCAGCACCAGATTCTGAGTGCACCAGTTTTAGTAAATCTACCCCTATGTGTTCACTGCTGCACCTCACAAATTAACAGGGAGCTGCAGTGAATCCAGGTTGCCTACAACTGTATCTCCCATGAGAGCACATTCATGTAAGATATTTACAGACAGAAAGGTTTTTAGTAGAGCAGTTATAAATATGTAATATGGCCCCATATCTTTGAGTTTTTGGGCACAGCCACCAGCTATGGTACATTGCACTCTCATCAACATATTAGCAAAAACAACAGTTAGAAGCAAAAGGTTTGAAGGACACAAGCCTCATATACATTGTAAGATTGCATCAGTAGGTAAGAAGAAGAATTTCATGATAATTGTTCCTTAGTAATATTAATGTAATCAAGTTTTTGTTCACATTTGCATAAATGCATAGATAAGTATTGCTACATCCCTGTCAACAATACAAAATAATTAGCATAGATAAGAATAGAATTAACTTGATGAATGTTTGTCTTTTCAGCCATTGTTGCTATATGATAATAATACTATGTAAGGCACCATTGGGTTGCTTTGTTTGTTTTCTATATTACTCCTTTAGCAGCTTACCCTTGAAAATTATATTCACATATCAGTATGCTATGAAGTATTTATAAACCAATCTGAAAATCAGTGTTGCGCTAGCTCAACACCAGTGTTGAGCTAGCACAACAATTTTTTTCAGACTGGTTTATTTTGAGTGTGGGATCACTTATAAGTGTTATTGCAGCAGCTTAGTGGATTTTTTTTGTTTTTTATGATAGCGCACATATTTTCTATATTTATGAAGTATCTATCATATAGACACAAGCAATACACACACAGGTAAGCACATACACCACATATAGACACACACATACACATGCATTCATATTATTACCAAAAGTAAATATGGAACTCTAACAGGGAATAGAAGTCATAGTTTCCCAGAGGACATCATTTCAAGTCAGGCTCTGATTTTTAACATTTCCAGCAGTCAGTATGGGATAAAACAGAATGTTGTTTCATCTTCTTATTAAGCTTCTGAAATTCTGTTTTAGGCATTAAACTGACAGTCAGATGATACGTTAGAGCATGCGGTCTCCACTGTAATTTTAGCACTGTTCTTTGCTCCTTTTAAATCAGCTTACTATACAGACTTCCAAATCTCAAAGTAATTTTCTAGCCGCTCTATGTTCGCCATCACGTGTCTCCCCACTGTAGAATTAGGCCAGAAAAAAGAACAAAACAGAAATACAAGTCTAAAGATTTATCAGAGAAAAGGTAAAAGATATGACTTTCATGTCAAAGGCAGAACATTGCAATCAACACTTGGCACTGTATTAGGCTGACAGGTAAAATCAAATCCCACTAGACTTCCATTAAATCTTCTTCATTGCAAAATTTATTTTGCACTATTTTTCCAAAAATAAATGAATATATTCCACATTTCATGGATGACCCATTTGGTGTTGATCCTGTAATGTATGGTAGGCAAGGAAAGCCTTGCAGCAAAAAAGTTTTCTCTATGGGTAGGCTCCTAAAATGACCACTGACCTCAAATCAACCACAAAGTAAAATGAGAGACAAAAGCCTCCAATAATAAGAACAAAAAGGGCAGCAAAGGGGGTAATTGCCCAAAGAGCTGGCAAATAGAAATAAAGTGATATTAGAGGCTTTGATTTTGTTTTAAATAACAAACATGTCATACTTACCTGCTCTGTGCAGTGGTTTTGCACACAGCAGCCCCAATCCTCCTCTTCTTGGGTCCCCGCCGAAACTTCTGGCTCCTTACACCCATAGCAATCTGCTTCCTCTGGGCGCACTCATTTGTGCTCGCTCCCGAACCCCGCTCTATTTGTCTATAAGACATAAAGAGCACGGCTCAGACTCGATCCAACCTCTCTCCTCACTGGTTGTGATTGACTGGCTGTGGGAGCCAATGGCTTCTGCTGCTGTGTCTCAACCAATGAGGAGAGAGAGAGACCCAGGAGAGCTGCTGCTCCCATACACAGTGCTGGATCCAGATCAGGCTCAAGTATTAGGTAGGGCAGTGAGGGGAGCAGCTAACAAAAGTTTTTTTACCTTTATGCATAGAATACATGAAGGCAGTGGCGTCCCGAGGCAGGTGCGGGGGGTGCGGTACGGTGACACCGACTGCATGGGGTGACACCTGACCCGCTCGACAAAAAGGTAAGCTTTCTTTGCAACTTACCTTTCCTTGTCGACATGCGACTTATACGGAGTGACACCGGACCCGCTCCAAGAAAAGGAGTTGTAAAGAAAGCCGACGATCGCCGCAGGATGCATCGAATCTGCGGTAAGGTGGGTATAAGTGAGCGCTAAAGGTAAAACAGCTTGTTGACACAAAAGGTACCAAAAAAACAACCTCCAAAATTCACATAAAGATAAGAGTGCAGCGCTTGTAAAGATAAGTAAAACACATCAAAAAAATTACATATCAAAGTGCAAAGGTGTATAACTGCAAAACGCAGGTACAGTTGTGACCAAAATTATTCAACCCCCAATGCTGTAAAGGGGTTTAGGGACTATAGTGTACATTTGGAATTGTATTCAGAATCAAATCCTACAAGGACGTTGTAACTACCCAAATGCAACTAAAATGACATCAATTGTTTATGTAATACAGTAGTAAATGGTTCTTATGTGGTTTCTTCATTGCCACAATTATTCAACCCCTTAAAGACTACCACTCTGAAGAACAGAGGTTCATACAGGTGCTTTCCATCAGGTATTGAAAACACCTGTGGATGTCACCGAGCAGCAATCAAGCATAAT